AACATTTATTTAACAAATAGATATTTCTCATAGTCACTTCCTTTCCCTTTAGTTATGATTAGAAGTGTACTTCACTTGTTCTTAATATTGAGAAATGTGTATTTTACTCAAAAAGCAATTGTACAATGTGACTGCTGCCTTATCTAGACTTTACCATTGCCAGCCCTGTTCATCAACAATGACATCCATGTTGGATTACAATAATATATTCTACTTGGAGTAGCTTTTAAAGGTTTTTCAAAAATTTCAAGTGGTGTAGAACGTAATCATTTGACTGGAGAGTTAGGTGATTTAAGTAATGCCTACATTACATTAATTGTATTGCATTTCCAAAGCTCCTACATTTCCACAGACACTCTAAAGTAATTATTTTAACCTTAAGAAAACCTGAACACTTTGGGATTGGCAATTACCACAGCTTTTATCACAGCTGATATTTATTGTTGCTTTACTGCATGTCATGAGTTTCCTTGGGGGAAGGGGCATAACCACCTGAAAGGATGACTTTAAAAGTATTTACGCTAAACGGATATTTTAGACTTTCATATTCTTCAACCTTCCAGTAATAGGTCAGAATACTCCATGACATAAATATATTCAAATAAAAAATAAACATCTAGAAAGTCATAATCTGAATATGATAAATACCTTATTATCACATACATCAAGCATCATCAGACGTCATCCACAGAAATTGTTTTTAAAATAGAGTTTGGTTCTGGAAACTGAAAACTAGCATTATAACCCTAGGGGTCTTCTGGACAGTGTAATCACATAATCCTCACTGCCTACCAAGTGTCCGCTGAGCCGAATCACAGTTCTCAGACACACGCTTTGCATTTCTTTGTGTGTCAAAATTCACTTGCACACTGAAATTAAATCCTAGCAAGACAGAGTTGCAAACAACGGTTACAATTGACAATGGCCCCTACTCAGGTTCTGGGCCAGGCACATTCCCCCTGAAGAAGCAGGCCAAAGATGTGTAGATTCTCTTCTATCTAGATCAGGGGTAGTCAACCTTGGCTCTTTTGACTCGTGGACTTCAACTCCCAGAATTCCTGCCATGCTGGCTCAGGAATTCTGGGAGTTGAAGTTCACGAGTCATAAAAGAGCCAAGGTTGACTACCCCTGATCTAGAGGGAGACTATGGTCAGAGGTCAAATTCCAAGATATCTTCTATTACTAGATGACAATTATTGATACATAATCAATAATCAGTATGTCCACTATATAAAGCAAAATTAGCAGTATCCAAGTACTGAACAAAGGAAGATTAATTCAGAGATTGTGGAAACATAGTTTTTTTTCCTTCCACTTCAATTCTCTAGCCTTCAAAATACTCTCAAATTTGTATGGGCACATTTCTATTTTCCAGTCATCAGATACTCAAGACATCAAAATACAACTTTATTGTAGTTTCATTCTGACTAGCATTTATTTCTGAAACTGTCATATGATTGAGAAATTGCCAACCAGCATTATTCTACTCAATTAATAAATAAATAAATAAATAAATAAATAAATAAATAAATTAATCCTATATGCAGAATGATAATAAAAGAATATGCTAATGTCAAAATTCATATATAATGCTAAACTATTTTTAGTCACAGAGTTTTGAACAAATCAGAGTCTATCTTGGAGAAGAACAAAGAAAGTATATCTTGTTGCAGTGAATTTCTGAACATTTTGTAGCAGTGAAGAACTTTATGAATCTGTGGGTCTGTTTTCCATTTATTGTGAGATGTAAGTTATACTTCTATTTTTTACAATATTTTGTGCATAAAGGTTGATTGACTGGAGACTTTTGCTTTTCTTGCTTTTTTATGAGGAGACTGTTATTGGACTGACTTCCTTTTTTGGATGGTTTGTTTTGCCAGTATGTTCTTAACATTTCTAGTTTCCCCTATGAACATCAGTGTTTCACACCAAAAATCTTCTAGTTCAGCATTCTGTTGCCACATCACCAACCAAGTGGTTACTGAAAGCCCACATAGAGCACAGGAACATAACACTCTTTCCTGCTCATGCTTCCTAGAAACTAGTTTCAGAAATATATTTGCCTCAGAAATAGAAATACATAGCCAACATCATTACTGATCACTGTCAGTACTCTTACCCGTCATGAATTGTGTAGTCTGCATTTTATGCCATTCAAAATGGCAATTAATGCTACATACTATGGTAGCAAATTCCATAGTACACGTATTCTGTAAAATTGTGCTTAAATGACATTGGCATTCTTTTTCTAGTAAGTAAGTGTAAATATCTGGCATGGCACAGGAATTCAGAGTACAATACTCAGTCTTGTAATCAGGAAAAAAAACTGGCTATGGAAAGAAGACTGTTGGCATGGAGAGATGGCAAGCCAACAGAAAAAAGCAGGCAAACATAGCTTACCCTGAGTACTGTTTTCTTTTAAAGCTTCTGCTCTATTCTCCTCCTACATGGGCGAGTTGGGACATAATATCAAACCATAACATGTCAAGATTCAAAAGTCAGACATGAGAAACCACCTTTAAAACAAGCCAATATTCATAAACCAACATACCTTTAATTATAACTTCTTGTACAAATATAAACCACATACTGTGATTTTGTATGGTTCAAATGTAAAAAAAATAGCAGACAGCAGATTACAAAACTGATTCTATCTGCTACTACTTCAAAGTGTTTGATGTAAAGGAAAGTGTGATACTGTTCTGCATTGAATAACATAGTGCATCATCTACAAAAATTACTCAGCTTTCTATTCTATTCATGAACATGTGGCAGAAGCCAACAGGACTTGATTTGCAAGCATACACGGAAAGAAAATAAACCGTATTATTAGCTTAAGTTCATTAAGTTTACTAACAGGTACTCTCCCAGAGAAATTCAAAAGATTATGATTATACTATTACATAGTATGCCACCAGATATGCCAGGAAAGACAGTATTTCCAAGGAAAGCCAAACTTAATTATTAAGTTGTGATACCAATGTATTGCCATGTCTCATAATAGTTTGCCATATGATCAATAGCTGTCATTTGTTATATTATGCAGAAATTAGAGTTTCTTCCATTTTTTTCCATTCGTTTCTAAAATCCCAATGAATGACATGTGCTTTACTTGAATTAAAACAAATTATAAAATTTTATCAACATTTTACATAACAATGGATTTGATTAATTTAAACATTTTGTAAAATAGATGCACAAGTATTTTTAAAAGTTCATTTTCAACATAATATTCTATAATATTTAATTTAAAATACAAAATTATTGGTGGCTTATAGAATACTTGTGCCTCTTCTATTAAAAAAAAGAAGAAGCAGGTTGAACTTGACTTGTAAGTTCAGTAACGTTCAAAAGTCTAAGGTCGGCAATCGTGCCTGAAGCGCATTCTTTAAACATTTTGTGACCCACCTCTAAGTTGTTTGCAATCCCCTGCAAGGTCATATCCACAGCTATCCCTTAGTCCATTTGTAACTTTCCAAAATCAAAGTTCTAATCACCTTTTTGCTCTTTATTCCAAAAGGAAAAAAATCAAGTCCTTAAATTTGTATTTAAAGCTTCTTTGGCTAAGGATTGAAGGAAACTCACCCAGTGCTATTACAACTTGTCATTCTCTTACAAGCTGAAAAGCAGTTAAGAAGCAATTTCTGAAAATGATTAGAAAAGGAAGTATGCGAATCCAGTGTCCTTCTGAAGGTGCTGACCATGATTTGAGCAAAAGATGGGTATTCCTTTGTCTCCCAGAGCTCTAAACCTACTGAAAGCTGCTATCTTATGTTCTCTTCTTGAGGACCTACTGTATGGAATACAATAGGGCAATCCTATGCATTCTCCTTGTTATGCCAGTTTTTCATTCTGCCATAGTCTTCAGTTTGCCATTTCTTACTCAGAAGTCTGAATGCTCAACAACTCAAACTTCTCAAATTCCAATTGTAGAAAATGGCATGCAGCCTTCAATCGTTGTGAAGATTTTCTCTTTAAAATGCCATGCACAATGAATTAGAGCAGGTGATCAAGGGCTGTGAACCATTCTTTTAATGTCCAACAGAAGACGGCTCCAAACATGCATGTGTGGAAAACAAATACCATTCTTTGCACCACCATTGCAAAAGAACAGGATCACTTGTTTGCTGAATTCACATCATGTTTATACTAGTACTTGAGTTATCACCCATCTGCTTCAGTGCTACTAGGTTTCTGATAAACAAAGAAGGAAAACAACCCTTATCAAGATAATGAGAGCAGTCAAAAGTGACCACATCAATCACCAGAGTTTCCTCCACAACAGCAGAATAAATGGGCACCCTACAAGCTGGAAATCTTCTGAGACCTTTCAAGAATCAAGGCAGGCCAGCTATCACAGCCTCATTATTTTTACTGATTTCTTATCTCTAAATATCAGCAAATGACAGGGATGCAAACACAATGTTACCCCTTAGGAAGCCTTCAAAACCTTCGAATGGGCCATTCTGAATGAAGTTGGGAAGTGGGTTGACCTCACAACAGGTTATTTTGAGTTCTACTTGCAAAAAATTCACAATGTCCTTATTTTTTTAACACTTCCAGAACAATCAGAACTGCCCGTCTCAAAACATTCCATGATAGTGTAGAACATTTTGAACTCTCCTAGAAAATATTAAATATGGGGTCTAGTTGGTCCATGACATACTGAGATTGAAGCGAGGTAAACAACATATTTATGAGTTCTTGAGCTCTCAACAATATGCCTTACCTTACCTTACCTCTCATAATGAAATCCATAAACTCTCATGAAGAAAAACCTGCTTGTTCCCAGATAGCACTCTACTTATTTAGATGAACCATATTTCATATTAAATATTCATACTATCGTTAGAAGGTGCAGGTTTTTTTTCTCTTTTTAACATTTCAGACTTAAAAACGGATTTTTTGACATATTTATTTGGGAATTACAACTAATATTAGCAAATCTATCAATGAAACATTTAAGCAGAACATTTAAACAAAACATTTTACTTACTGAATATAAGGATGTCCTACTTTCCTTTAATATAAAGTCTTCTGAGGCCTCAAATATCCACCTTTGTGCTACAGTTTTCTGTCAAAAAAGAAGACATTTACCATCTTCATGAAATTCAAAAGTATGTAATTATAAAGGCATACTTAAAAGAGAGAGAAAGAGTGCGTATACACACACAGTTGAACCATTCAGTTTCAAAAATAATCAGGAAGTGGTCAATCATTTATTTGATTCGGAACTGTCTTAAGATTTTTAACTAATTTAAGATTCTGACTGATATGTTTGATGAGAAATTACTCTTAATACAGTCCTTGTTACAGCAGTCCTTGACTTACAACAGTTCATTTAATGACTGTTTAAAGTTACAATGGCACTGAAAAATGTGACTTATGACCGTTTTCAAAGTTGCAACCTTTGCAGCATCCTCATGATCATGTGATCAAAATTCAGATGCTTGGCAACTGGTTCATATGTATGACTCTTGCTGTGTCCCAAGGTCATGATCACTTTTCGATGGGGAATGGGGAAGCCAGATTCACTTAACAACCACATTCTTAATTTATCAACTGCAGTGATTCACTTAATGACTGTAGCAAGAAAGGTCGTAAAATGGGGCAAAACTCACTTAACAAATGTCTCACTTAACAACAGAAATTTTGAGCTCAATTGTGGTCGGACATCGAGAACTACATGTATTTCTAAGTGATGAACAGAGCTGTATATTATATTCAAATATGTTGACAACCAGAAATGGAAAGCACGCTGTAATTTCCAGGAGCAGACTATGGTCATTACCCACAAGGCTCTTCCATATTTCCTTTTTTAACTGTTCCCTATATTAATATATTCTGGTCCAAATAACATAAACTAATACGATCAGCACATATTTTTAAGAACTTCTAAATACCTTATAATGTATTACAAAAGAACTGCTTTATAATTGTTCTTATGCACTACCTGACAATAAGGCAGTGTATTACTGTCTTGAAAAAAAAGATCGCCCTGCTACCTATTCATTTGACTTGAAAACAAAAATGCAACATTATAATTATAGTTTAAGAAAACAAAAACAAAAAAACGTTCCCTGCAACAGTAGGCAGCATTTTATTTTTTAAAACTTATAAACAACAGGTAGGAATGGGAATGAAGCCTTCTGGAATGTAATAAGTTAAGTTTTTAGCTATTTGTAGATCAAAGACTATAGAACTTGACTAATGCATTAAAAACAAACAGGGAGGATGTCAGTATTTTATTTTTTTTAAAAAAGCAAAATCTTGCCTATCTAATTTGAAACTGCCTTGTAAGTGCTGTCTTTATATAAAATGAATCCGGAATCCATAATACAACTGGATTTCATGTTTCGAAATGATTTTGGCATCCAGCCATAGAGCAAAGTTTTCTTTTTAAAATATGCTATGGATTAAGGAGGAGTCCTGCAACCACAGAAGTCATAACACAGCAAACTGTGATCTGATCCTATCTTGGAACAATCATAGTCAACTTCCTATAAAGCATGCAAAGATTCAATTCCTGATATGAAGTTCCTTAAAACCACTTAACTATTAGCACTTTGTTCCACCTCAATATTTTCAAATAGCTGTCCTTTTATTTCTTTTTCCATTAAAAAAAAAATACAAGTTTTTTTTTTGTGCAATCTGAACAGAAATGTACCAGCTGGAAATGCACTGAAAATTTCAACTCAAAGACTAGTGTTAACTGAAAAACAGCTAAGTAGTTGAAGGTATTAAAGCTTTGTAAATATATGGTAGTGCACCCGAACTATAAAAGTGGTGCTTTGTAAATATATGGTAGTGCACATGAACACCTCTTTTTAAAACAGCCATATCAGCCTCACAACACTGATTGGAAAGCTGCTGCTAGGAGTCTCTGAAATTGGGTGCATGCATGACTAAAATGCTGGGCACAGCTTCTGAAGCAGCTATGTAAGTCTGTAAAAAAATATGCCTGCTCTAATGATTCCTCTCTCTCCAGAAAGAGAGTGAAAGAGGCTTCATAAGGACCCTTGCACCTTCTTAAGTATGTCTTTTCAAGGCTTGTATCATTTTAGGTGGTAACGATAATAGCACCAATACTACAATGCTTCAGTTGCAAAATATCTTATGAAACGTAATAAATTCAATGTCCTGTTTTCAAACTAACACAAAATAACAACCTTTCTTATTATAGCATGAACACGACTCTCTGTGCAATTATTCCTAAGATACTTCTCTGTCATTTTACTAAAAATGCATATTGAAAGAGAAAAACAGAGAATTCAAGCACAGCAACATTTACGCTACAATATATTTTTATTTGATGCTTTCAAACTCAATGTTATTCACAGAGGAAAAGCACAATGTTTCATAGCCCAAGAAAATGTTTTCTGCACTCAAGCTATCTCACCCCACCACTATACTCCCACAGTAGTTTCAATATTACTTCAGTTCCGTTAAGATTCATACCCAGCTCAGCTAATATCTGACCATTCTTGGCTTTGCATTCATCTGACCTCAATATACGTTGTTTGTTCAGAAAAATGACACTGTTTTGCAATGAATGAGAATAGGTTATACAACACGTTATATTTATAAAATAACCCTAGTGTCAAGTAGAAAGCCATAAGCTGTAAATTCTATTTAGCCCAAGATATATCCACCTTAAGGGTTACACAATAATTCTCTGAAAAATTACAGGATATATGAAAATTCTTTTCCCATGGATCAGAACCAATGATTGAAAAATCTTTCATTTATATTTTTCAAAGGCGCACATAATACTAGCTGAGCAATATAAAAATCTTGGATTCTATCTGAATACAGATAGTCCTCGACTTTTATTGTTGTTAGTTGTGAAGTCGTGTCCGACCCATCGCAACACCATGGACGTTCCTCCAGGGCTTCCTGTCCTCTACCATCTTCTGGAGTCCATTTAAGCTCACGCCTACTGCTTCAGTGACTCCATCCAGCCACCTCATTCTCTGTCGTCCCTTTCTTCTGTTGCCCTCAATCTTTCCCAGCATTAGGCCCTTCTCCAGTGAGTCCTTCCTTCTCATTAGGTAGCCTAAGTATTTGAGTTTCAACTTCAGGATCTGGCCTTCTAAAGAGCAGTCAGGGTTGATCTCCTCTAGGACTGACCGGTTTGATCGCCTTGCAATCCAGGGGACTCGCAGGAGTCTTCTCCAGCACCATAGTTCAAAGGCCTCAATTCTTTGTCACTCAGCCTTTCTTATGGTCCAGTCCTCGACTTACATCCATTTAATTAGTGACCGTTCAAAGTTACAACTGCACAAAATGACTTACGATCGTTTTTCACAGGACTGTTGCAGAATCCCCATGGTCACGTGATCAAAATTCAGATGCTTGTCAACTGGCTCATATTTATGATGGCTGCAGTGTTCTGGGATCATGTGATCACCTACTGCGATCTTCTGACAAGCAAAATTAATGGGGAAGCCAGGTTCACTTTACAGCTGTGTTACTAGCTTAACAACTGCAGTGATTTACTTAATAACTGTGGCAAGGAAGATCGTAAAATGGAGCAAAATTCACTTAACTGTCTTGCTGAGCAACAGAAATTTTGGGCTCAATTGTGGTTGTAAGTCAAGGACTGTCTGTATCCATTTTGGTGGCAGTTTCCCCCCCCCCCATGAAGCAGTACTGTATACCTTTTTCCAAGAGCAAAGTCATTAGGCACTTACTCTTCACGCCATCATATTCTGTAAACTAACATTTAAGCATTCAGAAATAGTATTTGGGTTAGGAGAAAAATGAAAACATGGAAAGAAGAAAGCCATTTATATTAAACCTTAAAGTTTTAAAAACAAGCAAATCCTTCCGTAATACTAGATTTGCTAGGGACTGGATGGGGAAATTTTTATATATGGACCCACATACTAAAACAAGGGAAAGATCTACAGCAAATTAACTTTAAAATACCACAGGTAAGCATTAATTTTAAACTTTGTGAATGATATAAATATATGCATTCCACTACCAAATTAAACTGCAGCTAAAGTTATAATCCAAAAACTAAATATTTTGATGTTTCAGCACCAGCATAATAATCTCTATCAGTTATTTTAAACTAATTCTGTGGTAGTTGATTTTTTGCCCTCCAGATGTTTTCCTCAGAACTCCCGTAATCTGTTATCACTGGCAAGGTTGGATAGGATTTGTGAAAACTGAAATTAAAAGCATTTGGAGGGCATAAGTTTGCTTATTCTGAATCAAATACGTAAAATTTTCTAGAGCCAAATTTTATATGTAAAAGCTAATATCTATCACTAGTCCCATTTAGTTTCTTTCTTAATCTTAACATTTTGCATATCACTATTTTTCTGTTTTGTGAATGCAATGGCTTAAAAAAATCCACCATCACACAGTGGTAATGTAGGAATTACAAATTGAAAGGATTCTTTATTGCAGTAGAGTACACTGACACAAACAGGCTCTAAGAAACAAAAATGTTGCCTACAGGTAGTCCTTGACTTACAGCAGTTCATTTAGTGACCGTTCAAAGCTACAATGGCACTGAAAAGGAAAAAAATGAGTCTGGACAATGAGTTAAGTTCAAAGCCAATGTTACTGAATATTTGTGATCTTTAAGAACACTCCATAATAAAAGTACCCAAAATGTCTACTGCAGTAATCAAAACCGCAGGTTTTGCAGCAAAGAAATGTGTGGTCCCTTACCAATGTTATTATTATATAAGCTTTCATTGATTGTATTTACCTCATCCAAAAGAAATATACTGCAAAATTATACACAGGATTTTTTTTTAAAAAAAAATCTATATGTTTAAGATAAACTGCATAATAAGCACTTCTTACATGAAGAAAATGGTATTGTTATAAATAGCATAATCTGATATGCTGATATTCTTAAAGGAAAAGTATTACTATCTGGAAATCAATTACCAAAAAAGAGCAGAAGTTCAAAAGTGAAAGATATATTGTTGCAGGCAAAGTCTATCTTCTCCTCTTTTACTTGAAAGCATGTGTCTGATGAAAAAGTACATTCCATTTATTAGGATATGATGTTAGTTCAACATCAATCCATCTACACAGCTCTACTGATTT